AAGTGTCGCAACCTCTGGGAATAGATCTCAGGTTTCAGGGTGAAGGCAGCATTTCAAATGCTCGCTTCCAGTGCACTATTGAGTGGTTAATGTAAAATAATACAAGTTTAACAAATTTATATGTCAGCTTTATAATTGATTACATTGTCAAATTTATTATTAAGGATTCACTATGGTTACACCCAAATGAGATTAATTCTCTAAGTTTTGAATTCGGTTAATTATTTATTTATTGATTGTGCAAATATAGTAAATTATTTATTGATTGCACATATATAAATAAATGTTTCAATCATTTTGTTTAAATTTGTTGTGATACATCTCATGTTCCTGTTTATAATTTGTCTAATATTCAAGATGAGTTTATTGAAACAAGAAGTTGCAAAAGTGACCTCTCTTGTGTAGATTTATTTGTCGAGAATTTTAGATGTTTGTATTTGTATAGTTTCATGCGATTGTTTAATCGGCCCAAAGGAAGATTAGCATTTGGCAGAAATATATAAATTCCTGAGGTTGTAAATATATGACAATATATGGTTATATCCATGTGAATAATATGTCTTTCAAAAGAAAGACTATTGTTTGACAGGAATTTTGTCAATATTTGATTACTACACAAAGGCGACCACTTACAAATTAATATTACTGTCCAAAGACTTGATATTGGTGTTGTGCTAGGTGTCTTGAGATGTTACTAAGCTTATTTAAATTTGTATGATTGATGTGAGTATGTTAATTAAGTTATTATTATTCTCTGTTAAGTTATGATATATGGTACTTCTATCTCTGCTAATACCAACAACATTCCTAAAGTTAAGGGTTTTATTATTATTATTTTATCCCGCTAAAGATCTATATTTGAAATGAAAAAAAATGATATATAATTAAGGATGTTGAGTTTGGGGGGAGAAATAAGGCTAAGGACATTATCTTTGAGGAAGAATCATTTCCGATTTCTACTACTGCTTCTGACAATGTGCAGGTCTCTATTCCTGTAATTAGTCGAGAAGTAGATTTGGAACCTCAACAGGATAATGTCAAGAATCTCTCAACTCAAACTAGTTTAGTATTCAGGATGAACAAACTCAACAACCTCAATAACTTATGCCATTAAAGAGATACACTTGAGATTAAAGAAATACCATTTTTCGGATGATTATGCTTTCTTCAAGAAAATAAAGGCAATAATGACTTGAAAAAGTGATCTTATGGCATCAGTGGCATATTTTGATCTTGCATTTCATTAGATGGATATAAAGACGACGTTTCTCAATGGTGGCATTGATGAAACGATCCATATGGTACAACCAGAAAGCTTTGAGGTAGATGACCTAAAGAAAATGGTTTGTAAAGTAAAGAAATCCATCTTTGGACTCAAACAGGCAGCTCGTCAGTGGTACCATAAATTTCATCAGGTAGTAATCTCATTTGGTTTTGAGACAAAAGCTGTTGATAATTGTGTGTATCACAAATTCAGTGGGAGTTTGATATATGCTCGGGTCTTTACAAGACTATATATATCTTTTATTGTTGGTATAGTAGATAGATATTTAAGTAAATCTGGTATAGATCATCGGAAAGCAGCCAAACGGGTCATAAGATACTTACAGAGAACTAAGGATTACATGCTCACTTATAGAAAATCAGATCATTTGGAGATCATCAGGTATAATTGATTCTGATTTTAATGGATGTTAAGAGATTTTGTAGCTTGTTATGAGACATCCAATTATGGAATATAGTTGCAAAAATGTCACTGGGCTGCAAATTATTGAGAACGTAGAAAGACCACTAAAGTTTTATTGTGACATCAATTCAACAGTATTATATTCCAATTACAGTAGGAACTTAACTAAGTCAAAGAATATCGACATAATGTTCCTAGTTATAAAATAAAGAATACAGAGTGGACAATTTGCTATAGAACATATCAAGACAGACTCAATGATTGCGGGTCCGCTTACTAAAGGTCTAACACTCAAGGTCTTTCATGAACATACTGTTCGAATGGGTGTGACACAATTTCAAGATACTTGGTTTTAGTGGGAGTCTGTATTAATTGTTCTATAGACATATTGTATATGTGTGTTTGGATATTTCTGATCAGATATAAAGTATTCGGTGTAATATACTCTGTAATTTTGATTTTATATTGATCTCACTATGGAATAAAGTGGCCAGTTGAAAATAGGCATGTAAGATCACATTACATGTAATTTTCATGCTACACTTCCATGATTGATCTATGTCATTTAATTGTATTGATATGTGTGATTATTGATGGACTGATTCATGCTAAAAATGATGAAGGCCTCTTTAGTCCTATGTCATACGATTAATGGACGAGATTGGTTAAGGATACTCTTGTTTGTGACAACAAAGTTTGAGCTCATAAAGTAGTACACATTTGTTCGGTTGCATATGTAGTCCAAGTGGGAGATTGTTAGAAATATTTTATTGGACAACATATATAAATTAAATGTGTATAGTTGTCATAATATTATTCAATTAAAGTGATCTACTAATTTGTACCTTTGAATAAAGAGAGTATCAAATTATTATGGATTTAAAAGTGTAGATACCATTATGTGATTTTCTGTTTGTTGAGGGACCGAACTGAAAATCAATATTTCTTATTTATTTGGTTATGGCCCCAAACGACGAAAAGACACGAGCAGATTTATGAAGGGGTGCTTTCTCCCTTTAAAAGCACTCACCTTCTCACTTCAGAATAATGGAATATACAAAAGATATATACCAATACAAACACTATGGATAAAAATCTGCTATAAGGTTTCGATCGTTTGGAAGACCATACCAGTCCAACAAGATCGTTTGGAAGTAGATATCCACATGGAACTGAAGAACAAAGAACAGATGAATTTTCAATTCAATGAAGTTAGGTACGCTTCCGCTTTTATTCGGTTTGATTCTCAATTATTCGATATGAATGCTCCTGGGATAAAGCGATGTTTTTATTCGCATAAGGTTAAAATTTACAACAAACCAAATAAGTTATAAGCTAGCTTATTGGTCTACCAAACATAGCCTTGAAAGCATACTCAATTTTTTTTTTCTTTTGGATGAGACTTGTATTAACAAACACTGTAATTACAAATTAAAAAGCAACTATAAATAGTCAGATTAAATCAACTTTAGCTAAACTGAAAAGGGGAAGTCTATATGCACATACACACAAACATAATTTAAATTAAGTCTTAACTGTTGAGAAAAGTGTAAAGGGGCGGCAGGTGCGCCGCCCCACTTGTTAATTAAAAAAAAAAATGAAAGTGAGAGGAAATTGCAGGGGCGGTGCCACTTGCAGCCGCCCCATCTGCTCTTATTAAAAAGAATATATATATTTTTTATTTGCAATTTGATGGCCAATTGGCCAACTTCTCACCCTATAAATAGGGGAGTTCGGGCGAGAGAAAAAAGACACAAGAAAAGGAGAGAAAAAAGAGAAGAAAGAA